TAAAAAAATGGGTAATATTGACCCCAACACTTCGAAATTTTGAAAACTGACATCATATTCGTAATCTGCGACCCCGAAAACCCCAGAGTGACAAGTTTCACGCGAATCTATGTAAATTTTTATAATTTTCAGTCGCCATATTGGATCCGCCATTTTGAATTTTTAAAAACTGACATCAGGCTCGTAGTCAGCAACCCAGAAAACCCCCGAGTAACAAGTTTTAGGCGAATCTAATGAATTTTCAATTTATCGTCCGCCATATTGGATCCGCCATTTTGAATTTTTCAAAACTGACATCGGATTCGTAGTCAGCGACTCCGAAAACCCCAAGTAACAAATTTTAGGCGAATATGGTAGATTTTTAAATTGTTTGGTTTTTTTAGGGGTAGTTTTCATTAATTTTTTTTTACCCTGAGGTAAATTTTTGTTATTAATTTTTTTACAAAATTTACAATAATTTTAAACATATGTTACTGTGAAAGCTGAGCAAAAATTTTTTTTCTTAAATTTATACTTTTTTTTCATTTTTAACATTTTTTGAATTTTAAAGGGGTGTTCATAAAAAAGAGTAGTTTTTTGGAAAAATTTTGAATTTTAAAAATTTTCGATTTTCTTGGTAGTGGTCAAAGTAGTTTTTTGACCAAAGGGGGAAGTTTAAAAAACGAGTAAAGTATCTTTGAAAAGCTCAAAAATTTTAAGGCAATTTGCTTTAAAATAAATGAAAAATGTTGAATTTTAAGAATTTTCGATTTTTTTGGTAGTGGCAAAGCAGTTTTTTTGACGAAACGGTGAAGTTTAAATGACGAGTAAAGTATTTTTGAAGAGCTCAAAAATATTAAAGCAATTTGCCTTAAAATAAAAGAAAAATGTTAAATTTTAAGAACTTTCGATTTTTGATTTTAGTGGTCAGGGTACTTTTTTTTGCCCATAGGTTGAAGTTTAAAAAACGAGTAAAGAATTATCAAAGATCCCAAAAATATTAAAGCATTTTGAAGTATTTTTGAAGAACCCACAAATAATGCCACATTTCTGTTTATAAAAAAAAAACTATCAACCTTAAAAAGGAAAATTTTAAATGCGACTAATATCTCTTTTTGTTAATAATATTAAAACTTATATAAAACCAAGAAAAGTATAACAGAAGTATTAGAGAGGAATTTAAAATAGAAAATTGCTTCTAAACTGAATGCTCCATATATATGTAAAATAGTAAAAGGAGTGGAAAAAATGTTAATAAATGAGGTAATCCCTTCTGTGGCATACCTTTCCCTTTAGCGGTGTGTACTGCGTTCAAAGGGACACCATGAGTGCAATATAGCAAAAACGTGGAAACATGGTGGGCCATGTTATCCGCGCATATACTCTCTGCAACGACGTGAACATGTATTATTCAGGCTGACACCCGTGCAACGCCAGGGCGGATCTATTCCCCTCCTTCTTCGTTCGTTTAACGTTTGAACAAGAGAAAAATAAAAAAATGCTCATCGGCTGAACGACAGAAATAGGGGGTGTGAGAAAAAGTGTATATATATATATATATATATATATATATATATATATATATATATATATACAAAAGTGCCTTTCTCTTATATAAAGCTTTGCCACGCGAGGGATAAAATGAAGGACAGAGAAGAATATTATTTCTTAGGGTGCCTAAGTGACAAGAGGACGGACAGTTCGATATTGTTATTTGTACTTTGGGAAGTAGTTTCAATGACGAATAATATTGTAGGAATAAAAAGGCACATCTGTAAAGGGACAGCAATAGAGGAAATCTATTCTCAAAGGAGATTTCTTTTTCTTTATCTTTTTGAAAGAATAAAATAAAAGTGAATTTTTGAATTTAAATCTCTTAATTTCTCTATTTTTGTGATATTATTAAGTAGAACAGGATTCATAGGCAATCTAATGAATTCAGAGTGATGAGTCAAACAAGTGTTCGGATAAAGATTTTCAAAAAATTTATGGCTCGATACCCACTTTAAAAAATATATGGTTTAGCACCCACTTGTCCAGCAGCGTTTTGTATAAAAAGAGCTACACTACCCACAAGAAGTCAGTTTAGAAAATTCAGTCATCGAAAGTAGTCGTTAGTACAGTCTAGAAAATGCAGTCATTGGAAGTAGTCGGTATAATTCTCTTAGCAGCAAGAGCAACAGTATTAAAAGTAGAAGAATTATTAGCAGTATAGTTAGAATAATAGTAGAGGTAGCAGAAAAAAAAGTATTTTTCATAGTTTGTAGTACCGGGAATATAAACTACCCTGGGTAAGCAAAAACAAGAATGGGTATTGTACAAACATGGAAGGGTACCGAGGGGTAATGCTACATTCAAAACTGCTACTGGTTCTGGTCGTCAAGCACTTAACATAAGGGCGGTATCCAGTGTGATTTAAAGGTTTAGGAGGGTAACAATGCTTTACAGTTTTGCCACTGATCATTATAGAGAAAGTCGTAAAGAAACAAAGTACGATGTGCGTGATACCAGATACAGTTTTGTCTTCAATAATACTTCTGAGAACTTTGCATCTGCCACTAACGAGGGTATAAAGGGAAGAAGAAGCATCCTGCATTTGAAAATGGAATTCAACATTCAAATGGAACCAGTGAATTTTAGAATAATATCAACATGACAATCAAGAGTGGACTGAAAAGCTTAACATTGCTCATACAGGAACTTAAAATTAATCACAACCCCATCAAATAGAACTTACGGATCATCAACAATTGTTTCAAGCAGACCTCCACTTAAAAATTCATGATAAAGTAAGTTTTAATAATAGGGTTCCTAAGACTGTTAATCTAGGGGAAATTAGTCGCAGTACAAGACTCGCGTGCCGGTTGTCATTTAGCAAGAACACGTATAGCGTTTCTGTATGCAAATCCGAGATGGGTATTACGAGATCGAGGGTGCCTTGGGAGCCCTTGATGAGAGCACTCAGCCTTTGGCTCTCCGCGTCCTAAATCCAGATGTGACATTATGCATTGCTCGCATGTATGAACATCAACAACACACGTGCCTTCCAATAATGCAAAATACATTTTGTTTACCCGTTGTAACGTTGTGTTGTTCATTAATATACCTAAGCACTGTGATTATTTTCAGAAAGTACATATTGTCATCGTCAAAATTGTTTCACTTTATAAGGAGAATATTAAGTTTGATCAACAAACAAACGCAACTTCTAGATTCTTTTAAAATCAAACAAAATTCAAAACAAAGATCAAAGGATGCAAAGGTATTTATGCTAAATGAATTACAAAATACTCTATAAATAAAACAATTTTTGTTTATGGATTTATTCAAAGTCGTCTTTTAGATAGAGAGTTAAAATTTCGTCTTGAGAATTTCCAATACCGATATATACTTCTAACGAGCAATACCGGACCCTTACGTATTAACTTCTCCACTTGAAAAGTTTTCTCCAAACTTCTCCGCAATGAAATATTTCGAGGGCATATTTTTTCCAAACGATTTTCAGGGTAATGGTCCATGTTCGTCCGTTAATCTGGACTTTTTTTTCTTCCAATTGCAAAAAAAAAAGAGCAGTTTTCCCCCCTATTGAATGTGGATGAAGTTCGCCTCGAGTGTTCGCCTCAGCTTTTCCGAGAGACTTGAAAAAAAACTTTTTACGATAAATTTTCGTTTTCTCTTTGGCTAACGGTACAATGCGTCTGCACATTGAATGACAGTACCAACATACAATTTAGATAGACGGAACGATATATATATATATATATATATATAAATATATATGATAAAAGGGGGAGATTGTTGTCCTAAAGGAAGAATCGAAGACGTGCGCGTCTTTAAAGAATTTTCTATTGGGACGGTTATTACAAACTTTTTTTAAAGGTTGTATTTGCAATGAGTGTAGTTGTAGCTTCGCTTGGCGCGCTTCAATGGCTCTATATACCCTCTCGACTTCATATTTTCTATTTCCTCAAGATAACCAGCGAACCTAAAGAAGCAAAACCGTGACGGTCGATATCCAATATCTGTTTGCTAATATTTCACATATGGCTGCCACACACAAGCCTCTCCTCCCTTTTACCTTTGCAATCTTACCCCATCTGGATGGCGTAGAGAGTTTTCGCGCCCTCTCGCCTTTCACAACAAAAAAAAAATGATGAAATATTTCTCCTCTATTCCAATTCCGCTAAGGTGAGCCCGCTAACGCAGGCCCGCCCAAAAAGTAACTTTTTTTATTTGAAAATAAAATCCCATCAATTCTTGAAGATTCTGTGAAGATTCTTTCTTCCAATTCTATTAAATTTAAAATATCAACTATGTTTAGGAATGAAATAAAATACGAACTTTAATTGATATCTTTAGATTTCCAAGACAATGGTACTGGAATGCTTATACTTTTGTATAATTAATTTTTAATTGACTATATGTGGGTTATTAGTTTGAAGGCTACTAAGTTACACCGGTCCGTAACGTGAAGACGTAGGGGGTCAAGGAAGATCAGTCAACTACAGTGTTGCGGTATACTTGAGCATTTGTCTCCAATTTCAACAAGGCAGGTTCTTCCGGATAAACTCCATCAACAGATGTCTCAAATTATGTGGAAGGCCTAGATGAATCCCAAACAGATGGTTCAATAACACAGATTCCTAACTAATCTCAAGTGAAGGGCTACCATAAATAATATATGTACAAAAAAAATTTAATCTGTGGTTAATGAACATCAAACTACGCTTAATCATTCCTTCAATTTTGTTGTAGATTTGGAATCAAATTATAAAAAATGATTAATTTCCGAAATGTTATATATTAAATTTAACGATCATACGATCAATAAGATTTGTGTAAAAATCCTAATTTTATTTTATTTATAAAATAATAATTGTTTATAAAAAAATTTTCATTGAATAATAAAGTGTCCTGATGATGATCTCAAACCTAAACACCGAAACTTTGCACATTTAATAAAATAGTGTTTCATTTATTATTCTTCCCATAAATCGATTAAAAGAATATCAACAAAATTCAACAACGGAAGAAAAAATCAACTATTTATTAAAATCAACATCTTAATATTTATTTTCCTCCAATTACAAGATTACTTTTTTCGGGGTGCACAACAATATTTGAGGCGAAGGCGATGATTGGAAAAATCCATCTGTGTAACAATTTTAAAGATTTTCCATCAAAAGAATAAAAGTGTTGTTGAATACAAATTTAGTACAATCAATAATGTCTGAGAAAGGAATTTTTCATTTTCTGGTTTATGAGGTAAATACGTCGATCTAAACTCTGAATGACCAGTTCACAGGAAAAGTTTGTAAACATAGAAGTTACGTCTAGTGAAATAAATATATAGTTATCGTCCATAGTAAAATTGCTCATTTCGTTCTTAAGTTCTAAACTATATTGTTAACGTGTGCACGAGGTGAAGTAATCCAATCTTTTAAGGAATTATTATTATTTTAGGAAATGATCTACTTATCTTGATTTGTAGGTAGATTTTCGATAAAACATCAGAAAATTTTCCTCTTAAGGTTTTTTTTTGAGTTTTCATTAATGTCGAGTTTATATAAAGAATACACTAAATTTTTAAAAGAAATTATATCTTTTTTAGAAATATATTTATATATTTTACAAATCAAAAATTAGTACAAAACGAAAAGTAATGAATTGTAATGTTTCTGTTATAAAGGTAAGTTGTTGTTAATTTATTAAAAATTCCATCATACTGATTTAGATTTGAAATTTGCTAAATTGACAAAAGAATGAGACAGAAAATTGACAGGCCTACTTCAGGCGAAATTCTGAAAAATTATTGTTTATCTGTTAAGAAAGAAAAGGTTAGTTCCAAAAACAATTATAAATGATTTTACATTGAAGCAAATGTTAATTTTTGTTCTATGGAAATATTTTCACGACAAATTATATTGCAATTCGTTAACGTATCCTATAATTATTCTCTCTTCCCGCTTTACGTAAACTGAGTAATTTTTTTAACCTAATTAAATTTTGTTATACTAATTAAAATCTGTTAAAAATTGTATAAATAAATTGTCAAGCAAATTTTAATAATTAATTTTTCTTTTTTTATCAGATGAATGACCAACGTGTGGATAATAAACCGCAATCACAATCTAATGTAGAACATTTTCATCAATCGGAAATGAGATTCATGAATAATTCGATGCACACAATGTCGGTAGGACTGTTTTTCTTTTACTAAATTTACCTTTACTAACAATTTTTTTGTTTTTTAATATTTTACATGTTTATTAGAAAATAATTTGATAATTTTAGATGCTATTTCATGGTGGTTATTGCGAGACGGTTTTATTTAATTTTTGGCAAATTTCGACTATCGATGGTCTTATAATATCCATGGTAGGAGTTATTGTAATGGCAGCTTTCTACGAGGGTCTTAAATATTATAGAGAGTACATATTTATGAGAACTTGCAATGGACCCAATTGCAGAGGAATGTCTCGGGGGAACACTATGATATCTGATAATAGTCAAATCGTAAGGTATGAATTTCATTTTATTTAATTATTACATATTTTATAATATAATACAATATAATATTTTATAATATAATACAATATAATATTTTATAATATAATACAATATAATATTTTATAATATAATATAATACAACATAATATAATATAATTTAACTTAATGTTACTAAATATAAATACGAATATTTAATTATCAACAATTTTTTAAACAGATTAACAATGTTTTCCTGGATGCACATGTACCATACATCTCTGCATATCATACAAATTTCCCTCTCTTATTTATTAATGCTGATTTTTATGACCTACAACATTTGGCTCTGTCTTGCTGTAATTTTTGGAATATCCATTGGTTTCTTTCTATTCGGATGGAAAAAGTCTGTTATAGTCGATATAACCGAACACTGTCACTGATAAATAATTTCCAATATGAAATAAAAATTTTTTAAACTTATTAAACTCTCTTTTTATCTCAAAACACAATAGATTTTAAATGATTAAAAATAAGATAGTTATGTTCTAGTTATAATTTTACCGCAATTTTGAAAATTAATGTAGAATTTGAATAATAACGTACTGGATTATTAATTATATTACTATGAGCTTAAATATTATGGAATTAAATAGATGAATACATATATTAATACATGTCTATTGCAATGGTTGGTTGGCTATTTTATGAAGAGAATTCTACCAACGCATGTTCAAATAGTGCAATGAGGATTTTGTACTACGTATTTTGGAGGATGGGTATGGATTGGAAAGGGTGCTTTCGAATGTACCTCACTCGTCAGCTGAAATTCAAATACCGTCTACCGTGTAAATCATGCATACGTACATGTATACGTATATATATATCTGTAGAATAAAAGCACAGAGTTTTGATTCCTTTTATGAGAACAAGCCACTGTTTAACAATATCCAGGAAAAAAAAACAAACTGAAAAAGAGTAATCTGATCCAAATAAATTTTATCGTTATAGAAAGTTTTTATGTACATTTAGGAAATTGGTAAAAGTTATTTTTTCCTATACTCTATTTTTAGAAAAATATTTAAGGGAAAATCAACATTAAGAGGTTAATTAGAAATCGAATAGTCAATAGAGGTCAGGACCTGGAGGGGTTTTATTTGTTGAAAGCATCAGATTTTTCTGACGTTAAGCAGAAAGTTTTATTTAAAATTCATCCGTTGTGACGAACAACGCCTACAAGATAGAGAGACCCTTTTGTCAAAATCAAAATTTGAGGTAACAAAGAAGATCACTGTGGTGGTGACCAAAGTGGTTTGCCTAAAGAAGCTGATGTTTGTAGATCAAAGACCAACTCTCAAGATCCGGGACTTGGATTGGACCCAGGAAGACAGAGTCCAGGAAGTACTGGAACAAGAACTCGAAAAGCCTGGAAGCAAGATGACTGTCCTAAGAACCAACCAGGAATGAAGCTCCTAATTGCAGTCACCGACCAAGAAAAACTAAAAGTAAATACCCCTTAAAAACTACTACTACTACTTGTTTATCAATCCTAAAAATATTCCTCCAACAATCATCGTGAAACTACATCTCAGAATTTGCATCAGTTTTGTCTCCCAGTGGATTTTTCCCATACTTTCAAAATAATTTACAATTATTTGAATCATTAATATTCTATAATATTAATAAATACTTAATTTACTTATAGGAATAAAAAATATAATTTCCATCAAATATATAGTATGGGATATAAGGGGAGGACATGTTTAAAGAAATAAGGTACCGAGATACAACGACTAACGGAGACAAACAGTGTGTTTGCCCCTTCATTACCCCCGAGTAAATACCAACGGGTTTTAATTACAGTCTCCGCCGCACAACTATATCTCTTGTTGCTTGTTATTTACTTGTATCCCTGCGTAAGCTATCTAACTTTCTTATACTGTTGGTTAAATAGAGGTCGCTCTTGGGAGGGTCGAGGCTCACCTCCGAAAGATTATTTTCCAACTACACCGTTTGTAACAATTTTAATGCACCTAGCTATCTACTATTATTTATTTAACGAAACACAACCCTTCTTCTAAAACGGTAGTGTTTGTTCTAAAACGATAATAACAATCCATAAACAAAAGATCCTAATCATTTACTGAAGTAAATTAAATTTACTAAAAGCAAATAAGTAAGATCTTTTTTTATTTAAGGTATGTTTATAGGAATTAGTCGTTATTCGTTGTAATTGTTTTAGTTTCATGTTTCCACAACGAAGTACAACCTTTCTCCTTTGAATTTGATCAACGTGGTATCGAAATATCAGAGTAAGTTTAATTATTTATTTTCTGGACTCAGTGCAAGGACTTGGCATTAAATTGATGAGTTTATCTTTCTCCTTCTCCCAGTTCATAACTTGGTTAAAATCTTTTTTTATTTACAAGTGGCAAAGACCTGGACAACCAGAAAGTTTGTTTTGATGAGTAAATCTAAACCAGTACTGTACCAGCAGATTTTTTTAAAATGTCTGCTCCTTGACGACATCTTCTTTGAACAGTATCCTTGTTCCATTTTCATTTAATTTAACTTTCTTTTCATCTTTAAACAAGATACTACAACAAACCCAAAAAAAACATTATTCCAACACTTAAAGAATCAAATATTGATAATTATAATCTTCCCTGCTTTTTAAAAGTGCAAGAGCATTAAAGCATTAACTGACGTATCTTCTCATAAAAATGGTAAAATTGTATAATAATTTAAACCACTTAAATTAAAATTTATCGCTAATGAATATTATTGTTTAATAAATGAAAATTGTGATGAATGTTTAAATCAAATCTGGACAAATAATTGGATATGATGGAGCAAATAAAAGATTGATTATATATCTCTAAAAACTTCAATTTATCAAGAATGCATTAACGATAATTGCCAATTGATTTACTACTATTAAACCGTATTTTTAATTAAAAAAAAAATCAAATATGAAATTTGTGAAAAATTCAATTAGCTTTGATTATACTTCAATGATTATTAATATCCTATAATAAATTGCATTCTTTCGATAAAATTTAATAAGAGATAGAATATTGACAACATTTGTAATATCGTTTCAAAGCAGATTTGTAAAAAATATTTTTACCTAATAAACAGCTTTAAATTTTATTTATTTCTAAATCCCATTAAATATTATTATTTTATTTCAAAAATATAAAATATTAAATAGTCTGCTAAAGTAATCAATTTTGCTATTCGTAATCCCGGTGCAAGGTTTTAGAAAACTTTTAATAATCTCTGACCTCTTAATATTGCGATGTTGAAATATAAATATTAATTTAAGCCTTATATTAATAAGGAGATTGAAATTAGAAAAAGCAAAAAAAAAATCCAAAAATCTTATAAAAAGAAAGAATCAGAGCAAACTTTAAATCTTATTTTTAAAAATAGAAGACAAAAAAATACAGAAAGATTAATAGAAAGAAAAAACGAGGAAATTAAAGTAATCAAGAAAATTGAACTGAATGTAGGTTAAGGCTAAAGGTATTGAATAGTCGCTCAATAGAGAATGCCCTGCTTACACAGCGTTGAAACCAATCGGAACTAGCGTGTCGTCAGCTGCTGATCGTGAAGTAGGTGTCACACATTATGATTTGAGTGATAATAATTTTTGAACGAAATTCGTCAAATGTGAATATTTCGCGACGAATCTCCTTGTCTCTCTCTCGCTCTTGCTCTCTGCTTCTCTCTTCGCTTTTACGGAAAAACGAGTCAGAATATTTACGAGACAATTGGACACACGCCATATCGATGTGAGCGACAGGACAGATGCGACAAAATATTCACACAATTACGTGGCCCGAGCGACACGCCTGGTGAATAATAAATTCACCCTTTTGGACTTCGCGGAAATTTAATTGGTCCTAAAAATTGTCACAAGGCAACTTTTACCTTTACCCTTTGCGCGGCTATTTTTTTCTTTCTCTCACTATCTAACCCTCCCTTGAGGGACAATCACTCTTAGACTCTTTTTACTCGTCAGTCGTCATTCCCTTCCAGCTGTAATTCAATTTTTCTGTTAAATTTAAAAATATTTTTAAAAAATTACAATTTTAATAAATTTAAAGACCTGGACAACCAGAAAGAGTTTGTTTTGATGAGTAAATCTAAACCAGAATGGAACCAGCAGATTTTTTTAAAAATATCTGTAATTATATTTTTAAAAATATAATTGACGACACCGGGTGACAGAATTTATATTTAAATTTGTATAATGGTAAAATTTTATAAAAGATTTGATTTTCGGGTCGGTTTAAACGTCTTTTTTTAAAAAGCATTTTCAATTGCATTCTATGAAGGTCATCTTGGAAGTTTCTAAAGTTTGGAATAAATTTTCAACTTTAAATCATTTTTCGTTGAATATTTATAGACTACCTTTCAATTATTTTAATAAATGCATTCTATTACCGGTTTTAATATACATATATTTATTTTTATACATACAAATGTAATCTTAGGAAGCAGCGTTATTAAAACAATAATATTAGAAATGGTAATTAATAGATTCCTGGATAAATAATAATACTTAACATCATGGAAAATTACTTTTGAAGTGCTCCGTTAGTATTAAAAGGGTTTCTTTTTCAAAGTAAAAATGAAATTTTTAATCTAAACCCCTTAAATTCCTCAAAGAAAGTGTGACACAGAAATTCCCGACAAAAAAACACCCAATGTAGTGTATAAAAATTGCTATGGTTTTGATCCAGGAAAGAAGGTGTCATTTGGTGGTGTTCGTCGACTCCATCTAATGAAGACAAATCAATCGATAGACATATTTATATGCGAAGTGGTTCCCCATGTTTCTCATTTTACAATAATGTGCAAACATGTATCCTCTACTTGATGCAATAGTTAAAACCTTTAAAATTAAAAAAAAAATTGGATTTTCACCAAGTTTTGGTACGACAATTGTTAGTGAAACTAAAATACCTTCAAATGAAAAAAGCTAACTTTAAAATATTGAATCAAGCAATATTATCGGGAAGCTCTCGTTTTAAATCTACCTTCGGACATTTGCAATTCTAACGAGGTGTTTGCATTTCTGCGTGGATCGTTGAACACTAGACCGAAGCTTTGGTCAGATCGAGTAGATATCGATAGAAGGGAGGGCGTTTCATCGTCAATCGTTGGCCGGAAGTTACCTCTTTCGATTTAGCATTTTTTTTCTCCCTATTATACATTTTACATGACTTTTAAAACACAATCTGCCAAAACTTAATCGGCAAACGTCAAATATTCGCGATGAATTAATAATTCTTTTAATTATTTAATTTTTCTATTATACCAGAAATTGTACTTTATCGTATTTACTCTGCTCCTCCACTGTCAAACATCATAGATGTCATCGATATTTTGGGAAGTGCTTGTACACTGCCAAACATGACTGAAATCATGGATA